GGTTAGGAAGTAGAGGGAACAGGCTTGGTAGCACTGGTGTGCATCCACATTCAATAAAAGAGAACGAAGTTCTGTGGACTCCCGTTCGAATCGGGGCTGGGCCATTGCTTTCTCAGATGCTTTTTTTTTGATTCAATTACCCAGGAGATTGGAGGGAAATTGTGGAGGAGGTTACCGGACGGCTGAAGGTTGATTAGCATCTACTTGTACTTATTATAATAGTACATACTCCAGAATACTAGCCTGGATTATGACTGTTCAAACTCAACAGAGGTACTCTGGAGTGTATTACCAGAGTTCTCAGAAAGGTCCAGTCGTGCTGGTGAATATTGGTATATCCTGCAGGGGACTCGGAGTCCCTGTTCGACTCGGGGGTGAGCCATAAAGTTGTAGTTGAGTTCACCTTTTGCCATGCAAACAAGGGAGAAAAGCGGGAGTGTAAGAAGGTTACAAAAGGGAGTAGGAAGCCTGGTGCCCTGGTGGGCCCCTACCTACATTCAGTTCTGGAATCGTAGCAAAGCTTCAAAAGACACCAGTAGACTCCCGTTCGATTCGGGGCTAGGCCATCCTCGGTTTCAAACCCCTTTTTGCGTGAAATGTAATTCTTCAAGAGATTGGAAAAACATGATGGAGGTAACGAAAAGGTCAGAGGTTCATCAGCATCTACTTGGTACAGGCTCCAGAATACAAGCCAGAATTATGACTGTTTACACTCAACAGACGCACCAGAGGATTTAGCATATCACTAGATTGTTCAGAAAGGTCCAGTGGGGAGGCTGGCGGTTGCAGTAACTGAGTAAGAGTGGAACACGCATCGGAGTCCCCGTTCGAGTCAGGGGTGGGCCATAGTATCGACCCAGGAAAGTATACCTTTTTGCATGCAGACAATGAAGAAGGTCAGTGCACTGTATGGAGAGGTTAGGAAGTAGAGGGAAAAGGCTTGGTAGCACTGGTATGCATCCATATTCAATAAGAGAGAACGAGATTCTGTGGACTCCTGTTCGATTCGGGGCTGGGCCATGCGTTGTGGGTATGAGCTTCTTCTTCTTCTTCTTTTCTTTTCTTTTCTTTTTTGATTCAATTCCCCAGGAGACTGGGAACAAAATGATGGCTTCAAACTCAACAGAGGCACCAGAGTATCTGACATATGATTGTGATTTACAGGAAGGTCCAGTAGTGCTGGCAGTTGTTAAAGCAGAGTCCCCGTTCAATTCGGGGGGGGGCATAGTATCGAAGAAGAACCTACCTTTTTGCGTTGCAGACAAGGGAGAAAACTCAGAAAAGCAGAGGTGTAAGAAGGCCACAAAAGGGAGTAGGAGTGCCTGGCTGCCCTGGTGGGCATCTACATTCAGTGCATTTGAAGACACAAAAATACATCAGTAGACTCCCGTTCGATTCGGGGCTGGGACATGGTGTAGGTGTTTTGCAGATACATTTTTGTTGAAATTGGAAGGAAAGAAAGTTACAAAAAGGTCAGAGGTTGATCAGCATCTACTTGTATTTATTATCGTAGTACAGATTCTAGAATACTTGCCTGGCTCATGATTATTCAAACCCAAGAGAGAGGTACCGGACTATATGCAGTATATTGCAAGGAAGCCTGAAGGTCCAGTTGTCCTCGTGCACATTTGCATATCCTGCAGCGGATTCGGAGTCTTCATTCAAACCGGAGGTGGGTCATAGTATAGCAGAAGAGCATACCTTTCGCGTTGCAGACAGGGGGAAAAGATGTCGGTGTAAGAAGGTTACGAAAGGGAGCAAGAACACCTGGTAGCCCTGGTGGGCATCTACATTCAGTTCGGGTGAAGGTATGAAAATAAATCAGTAGACTCCCGTTCAATTCGGGGCTGGGCCATAGGATGTTGGTGTAAGCTTTCTTTTTACTTTATTTCAACTCGCAAAAAAGGGGGAGGAAGGATACTGCTACTGCTAATAGTATTGTATACTGTGGATCAGCACCTTACTTATTGCAACTGATAGAGCACATCGAATTGGTTGTTCAAACCCATATACTCTGAATTGTGCAGAAAGGTCCAGTAGCACTGATTGTAGACAGAGTGGCGGAGCCTCCGTTGGAGTTGGGGTGGGCCATAAAGTTGTAGTTGAGCCTCCATTTTACTACGAAGACAATGGGAAAAGGCAGAGATGTAAAAAGGCCACAAAGGAGAGTAGGAGTGCCTGGTAGCCCTGGTGAGCATCTACATCCAGTCCGGGTGAATAGACAAACATAAATCAGTAGACTCCCGTTCGATTCGGGGCTGGGCCATGCGACGTTGGCAAGTTTTTCTTCTTACTTTATTTAGACTTGACAAGGAGATTAGGAGGTTGTGGGCAGAAGGATACTGCTACTGTTAGTAGTACTGTGGATCAGACTGTAAATGATAGAGCACACTAGTAAATCTGTTATTGGAGCCCAATGCAGGTGCTGGAGTATTTGCAGCATATTACTCATCAATTACGCAGAAAGGTCCAGTAGCACTGCTTGTAGACAGAGCAGTGGAGTCCCGTTCGAATCGGGGGTGGGCCATGAGAGTTGAAGCTAGTTTACCTTTTGCCAGCAGACAAGGGGAAAATGTGTCGGTGTAAGAAGGTTACAAAATAAAGTAGGAGTGCCTGGCTGCCCTGGTGGGCATCTATATTCAGTTCGGGTGAAGGTATGAAAATAAATCAGTAGACTCCCGTTCGATTCGGGGCTGGGCCATTGATAATTCACATTGTTTTTTGATTCAATTCCCCAGGATATCTGAAGGGAATGACGGAGGAAGTCATGAATGAAAAGGTCAGAGGTTGATCAGCATCTACTTGTACTTATTATAATAGTATGTACAGACTCTGGAATAGGAGCCTGAATTATGATTATTCAAAAAACTCAAGAGAGAGGTACCGGACTATTTACAGTGTATTGCAAGATTGCAGGAAGCCTGAAGGTCCAGCCATGCTGGTGAATATTTGCATATCTTGCAGCGGATTTCGGAGTCCCCGTTCGAATCGGGGGTGGGCCATATCTTGAACAGAAGAAAAGCACACCTTTTGCGTTGCAGACAGAGGAGAAGGTCAGATCACTGTATGGAGAGGCTGGGAGGTAGAGTGAAAAGGCTTGGTAGCGCTGGTGTGCATCCATATTCAATACTCGTTGGCGCGATTGGGAATTTAGTGGACTCCCGTTCGATTCGGGGCTGGGCCATACACCATGCATCCAGGACTGATTGTTTTGTATTATTTTATTTCAACACTGCGACGAAGGAAGGATACTGCTACTGCGAGTACAAGAGCGTCCACTGAGCCCTCGGCTTTTTGTCGGGACAGGTTCGGGGTCTAGGCTATCCCTTGATTGCCGAGGGCCGGGCCGGTGTGTGTGGCGCGGAGGTGTTTGTCAGCAGTCCCTCTGGTTGTCGTCCACCGTCGTCGATGATCCGCTTCGACACGCTCCCGCCGGAGGTCATGCAGGCCATGTGCACCCCGATGCACCAGATCCTCCCCCCGACGCCCCTCCCCGCCGCCGCCCCCTCCTCCTCGTCCCACCCGTCCTCCTCGTCCCCCTACGCGCCGTACACCCACGGTCAGCAGGTCCACCAACCGCAGCCCCTCTCCGGCGCCCTCTACCTCGGCTCGCTGAGCGCGGTGAACGACCACCCGCTGCTGCGCGCGCACGGGATCAAGCACCTCGTGCAGGCGCTCGAGGCGCCGTGGGCGCCGCCGTGCCGCAAGGAGGACGGGTTCGTCGCGTATAGCATCGATATCAGGGACAAGGAGAGCGTCGACCTGCGCCCGCACCTCGAGGCCGCGTGCGTGTACATCGAGCGCGCGCTGCGGAGGGGCGAGGGCGTATTGGTGCATTGTCAGCAGGTGCGATTTTCACTCCTCTTTTCCATTCCTATTCCCATTCGCTCTTATCCATCCTGATCCTTACTGACCATCTCCATCTCTTCATTTATTCTATATATTTTATGCTCCGCCAACGCAGGGCGTCTCCCGCTCGCCCTCGATCGTGATCGCGTACCTGATCCGCAACCACGCCATGTCGTACGACGCCGCGCTCGCCTTCGTCAAGCGCAAGCGCGCGTGCGCGAAGCCCAACCCCGGCTTTGCGCGCGCGCTCGTCGAGTGGGAGGCGAGCTGGCGCCGCCCGCAGGTCGGCCGCCGGTTCACGTCCTAGGCGGCTCGCCGTGGGGCGGGGCGGCGACTGCTACGTTTGCGCTGCGGAGTGCGGAGTGCGGAGTGTCGCCGCGTGGGGCGGGCCGTTCGTAATCCTAATCCTAATCGCGGCGCGTGGAGGGCACGCCTCGTGTGCGCCTCGTGCCGGCCGCGAAGCACAGGCACCACAGGCACACCAACCAACCAAGGGCTGATACATCCCACGCGCCACCATGTTCCATGTATTCCTTCCTGATTCCTCCTCCAATCGAATTCGATCTCTTGCGCCACCGCCATCTCACGCTCTTGGCTTGGCTGACGCGCATGCACGTCTTTTTTGTTCTAGTATTCTGTTTTGTTCTCTCCTATCCTGTCCGTCGTCGCTCGCTCGTATCTCCACGTTCCCTCCCTGCGTCCTTCCTTCGTTGAACCCCTCGCTCCTTGATTTATTTATCACTCCATCTCCGTCTTCCGTCTCCTGTCTTCCGTCTGTACATCCATCTCTCGTTCCCTGTACATACATCTTACACTTTACACTTTACACTTTACACACTACACGCTTCGCACACCATACACGTCTGGGGCCGCTGTCGCTTTACTTGTTTTCTTTTGCTGTTTCTGTTTTGGTTTTGCTTGCTTTTTTTTTTTTTGGGATATATTGGGGTTTTTTGGTGTTTTGTTTGAGGTTCTTGGTGTCTCGCCTGGGCAGGGTTTTTTTGAGGGAGCGGGTGAGCGGGTGAGTGCGCGAAGCGCGTACTGTATTGCTTATTTGCGTATCGGCGACTCGCGATATTATGTATACTCGAGAGTCTGAGTCTGAGAGTCTGAGTGTCGGGCTGTATTCAGCTTCGACGAGGGTCATTTCGTCGGGTGTGGTGTATGGCACACCCTCCCTCCCACTGAGATGAGCACATCTAGGTTGATGGGAGAGACCCGGGTTCGATTCCTGGTGCCCGAGTAGAAAGTGCTTTGAGACATTTTTTGTCAACGTCACAGGCACAGATAAAAGGCCGAGGAGGACCTGGCAGATTTTCGAGTATATCTGAAAGTCTCAAGTGAACTAAGTAAGCATCCGCTGTTATTTTCTGGATTTGCTCCAATCCAGGGTTGGTAAGATTCCGGAGAATTTCCTGGTATAGTGAGTCTAGCAGAGGAGTGTTAGTCGGGCGTGGTGGATGGTGCACACTCCCTAGAAAGACTTCTTAGGAGATCTCGGGTTCGATTCCTGGGACCGAATTAGGTCAAATATCCCTCTGTCTTTTTTTGATCGTCAAGAAATTGAACTGACATCTCGTTACAGGACTGATAGGTAGGTAGATGAGTTGAGGGAATAGAGTCGGGCGTGGTGTATGGCACACACTCCCTCCCACTTGCAAACGAATGCTGAATTTGATGAGAGAGACCCAGGTTCGAGTCCTGGGGCCCGAGTAGGCACAGCCGCGAAAGGCTTCTTTTATCAGTATCACAGGTCAGAGGCAATGCATTCTGAACATCAATACTCACGTTGAACATAAGGTTTATTCAGCTTCGAAGAGGCTTATTTCGTCAGGCGTGGTGTATGGCACCCGCTAGCACTCGCTCCCTTATACTTGTCAGTCCCCTGTGGAGGATGATGGGAGAGACCCGGGTTCGATTCCTGGCACCCGAGAAAAAGGTGAAGTTGGTAGACATTTTTTGTCAACGTCACGGGTAGGTCGACGGTCGGAGGGGAAGGAGGGAGATTTGATTTCTGAAAGTCTCAAGTTGAACTTTTTTCGAGTTGATTAAACTTAGGGTTCGGAGAGTTGGCGGGTATAATGAGCCTGGAGATGGGTGTTAGTCGGGTGTGGTGTATGGCACATCCTCCCTCCCACTTATTTGTTAGCTAGGTTGATGGGAAAGACCCGGGTTCGATTCCCGGCGCCCGAACTAAGTGCTTGACGTCGATCCTTTTTTCGGTCGTCAAGGAATCGAACTGATATATCGTAACAGGACTCCTAGGTAGGTAGATTGGTTGAAGGTGAGGGTACTATCATCTCAGACTCTGTTCACCGAGGTGGAGGGGTCTGAAAGTGGAAGGCCCGCCGGCGGCCGTTGTTTTCGAGGAGGCAACGCATTCTGAAAATCTCACGTTTAAATATCGGGCGTTATGCTAAAGGGAGGTTCTCTAGACCGCATTCAACTTTCAAGAATCAATATCACTGTGGCGGTTTATCCAGCTTCGACAAGGAGTTTATCGTCGGGCGTGGTGTGTGGCACCCTTCCTCCAACTTGCGCGCTACTGCCCAGTCCGATGGGAGAATCCCGGGTTCGATTCCTGGCACCCGAACTAAGTGGTCGGTAAATCCCTTTTTTCGCTCTTCAAGAAATCGAACAGAGAGGACTCGTGCCAGTCGGTAGTATCAGACTTTCGACATATTACTTGATTGCACTTGATTGCACTTGAATGGCCTTGAATTGGCCGAAAAAGTGCTCAAGAGACAAGTGGTCCAGCCAGGTCCGACTTTCCACAAGTAGAAAAAAAAGTTTTTTCTATGGGAAGCACGGTCAGTTCCCCGCCCTCTCGCAAAAATTTTTGAGTCCATTTTTTTCCATTCAAGTGATTCAAGCCATTCAAGTCCATTCAAGTGACAAGAAATCTGTCAAAAGGCTGATGAGGTAGGTACATGTCCGTAGGTAGGTTGAGGGAAAGTCGGGCGTGGTGTACGGTGCGCACTCCCATTAATACGGATGAGGGAGAGACCTGAGTTTGACTCCCGGCGTCCGAACTGAGTAGTTTCAGTCAATGCCTTTCTTCGATCTCCAAGAAATTGAACTATATGCCGCGACAGGACTAATAGGTATTAGGTATACGGGCTGACGGAAAGGGTATCAAGTCGGGGGTGGTGCATGGTGCTCACTCCTTCCACTGGTGTAATCGGCCCGAATATATCTACGGTGTGCTTCGCTTAGTCACCACCTGCTTGCGAAAGCGCCAAGTTGGGCGTAGGCCAAGAAAAAATTCTGTAAACCTATGCTCAGCCTATTCTCAAGCAGTTTTCAAGTTGAAAAGGACACTTTTATGATTTATCAAAGAGTTCAGTCTTTCAGACGTGGGGTGGTTGCTGTACACCTTAAACTCCACCCCACAGGGTCATTTTAACAGTTCAGAAACAAGTGGAGGCCAGTCTTGGCCCATGACGCCAAATCGAACCTTGTGAAAATTTACAAGTCCATCAGTTTTTCAAATTAAATCAATCCCTCTTGGGAATCTCACCAGACAGTGAAAAGAGGCCTTTTGGAAAGAGGAAAAGAAAACCAAAGAAAAACTGAATGAGTAATAAGCCTTGTAGCAAGCAAGTGGTGACTAAGTGAAGTGCACCATATGGGAGACCCAGGTTTGACACCTAGGCCTAGCGCTGGATCCCTTGTGTGTTCATCGTAGCTTTTTTACCTGCCTCATACGCCGGAAATCAAGCGGGGAAGCAGCGTGGCCGCAGCTTTTCAGACTTTAGGAACCACCAATCTCGGAAGTTGAGCCATCCAGCAGTCCAATGTATTTTGATGGAGGCTGTCTGTATAGTACTCTGGACTCAATTCAACCAAGAATTAATTTCACGGGACCATTATCTGTGTCCACTCAGGCGCTGGGATTCGGGCTTTATTCAGCTTTGAACAGGCTTAATTCGTCGGGCGTGGACTCCTTCCCACTTTTGAATTATTTATTGAGACAGACAGCTGTGGCGATGCAGTCACGCATCAGCAAACACCGCGGCCCGCCGTTCCGTGCCTCTCTTTCTTTCTCTTACCACCATCTTGCAATTTACTCGCGGGCCGCCTCCTAGCGGCTCAACTTGCTTTTCCTTTTAGTTGTCATGGCTACTCTCGAGCTTGTACAACTTAAAAGACTGGGTTAAGCTCAGTCTTAATACAGGGACGATGACCAGGAGCAGCTGCAGAACGCAAGGACTTGAGGACATGAGAGTTGTTATGAAAGAGGGTTTCGGCCGCTCCCCTCCGAAGGTAGAAACACAGTCCAAACAACCGCCTCTTGTCTGTGTCCTTCATGCGTCAAGACCGTATTTGACACTTCGGAACCTCAAACAAATTTCCTTCCGTGCCATGTTCTCAAATCATCCAGATAACTTGAAGAATTTCAAATCTTCGGTCGTACAATGCAATCCTCAGTCCCCACCGCTTCCACGCAAAATATGTCAGTGCTGCGAAAACCGTCCAAATTCTGGATCTCGGCGAACATTTCTATCACCTTCACTTGACATATCCTCCTCTGTGCTAGAATATGGACTAAATTCCACCGGGTCGCAACTCTCGAAGCTATGTACTAAAAACTCAGATCTTTGTGGTCGTCATGCTGGCTGCTTCCGAGAATGCACTGTACCAGGCTGAGGCTGAGTACGTGTCCCGATATCACTGTTCTAACGTTTTCCTTCATCAAGAGACAATGTGGTTGAATTGTCCGCGTCCAGCGCGTCCAAAGGATGCGTCGTCGACGTTACTCGCGGTAAGCTGGTGTAATGCCGCCAAGTACGCAAATTGAATAACCTCAAACCCACTCCAGTCTAAATAACCGTACCCTGCGGACTAGGCCTTCTCTGCTCGCAAATTCGGAAGGGAAAACGTCCAATCCATTGCTCCATATCGCAAAAATTGCAAGTATCGTATTCCTCATGCGATGCGACGTACGGTGGTCCGCAACAGGTAACCTCACCGGTGCGTAGCCATTGGTTGTGATTTTTCTAGAATGGCAAATATTTCATTTCCGGGGTGCGCTCAGTCAAAGCCAGCGATGGTGGGATATACTATCGCTCCTCCTGCTACATTCATTTTCGGTTTCGTTTTCGAAATTCACACTCCTCAAACTGAAGTTGAGTTCCTAGAGCATCACGGTTCAGCTCTCCACCCATCGCTGGTCGACGCGGATATCAAACACACGTCGAATGGATCCCACTAGTGCAACGTATCGTGTATGTGTCTTTCTTGGGCATAATATCTTCGACCTCAGCTGAATCCACACGGTCAATAGGCCCTGAGTGTTGAATACGTTATTTCGAAATAAGCCAGCACGTTCGACGTCTGTCCGTGTAAGCTAATGCCTCCTGCGCCAATTTTCCTGTGCACATACTGCTAATCATCACTCGGCCTTGCTCTCCTAGGCTCTGGACTGCACGCAAATCGTTCTCAAGACCGCTGTACATCCACACGGGCGCCTCTTTTTCTCGGGTTCCCATTTTCTTGCTTGCTCCTCTAAATCTGCCGGCTTTCCTGGGCCTCCGTTTGAGTCAGGTCACAAAATTCCAATGGTTTCTCCCCGCTCGGCGTCGAGTACGTATTCTGGAATATGCCGAAAGCGCCCGTCGCCGGATCACCGTTGCCGCCGGGACTATCCAGGGTTTCCTTCGCCCTCCGAAAATTCCGAAATTGGTAATAGGTCTGTTTACTAGCGGGATACGGCCTTGCTCAACCCTCCAAAATTTCAGATCCAGATCAACCTCAAGATCGTCATGCGCCGCTGGGCCTCAATTAATCCCACATAGAAGGCCATCGAAAGAAGTTTCATCGCCAACAGATTGCATTCCGGAATGCGTTACTTTGAACATTCACTCACGTCTCATGCCGCCCCGCGAGGCACTGTTGATGTGGCAGAACAGCGGCAGCATTGGAGATCTTAACAGATCGCGTTCTAAAAGGAGTGTGGTAGGTACACCCGCGTGGCCAACCGATGAAAGTCAGCTCCTCATTCTCTGTGTGGAAACAATTTGGTTGAGAGTCTTCGAACGTATGGGCGCGGAGTGGTGGCGTAGTGTGTCTCCACCGCGTTCATCAACAACATAAACTAGGTCTGTTCGAAATGTCCTACGACCGCTGTCTCCGAGTGGTATCCACATCCGAATCTTCTTTAGTCGCTGTCGCAGGGGTTAAGGGACGAGTCAAACCGAGAATATTCAGGGCCATCTCCGAAACCGCGCTCGGAAGGGAGAGCTGATGTGCTTGGCAGATCGGTTGTACCTGATGCGCAGAGTATGAAGATCAAAAGTCGACTGTTGCTCCCGCTTTCCTCGTCGCAAACTGCGGAGAACGACCTTCATGCTTATTTTTCATCTCCTTGCGCTCGCGGTCGGGCTGATTTCTGCAACGACAACCTTCACCACCAGTTCTACTATCGGCGGTACCGGGACGAGAGTGTCCATGTCTTTGTCAACGTCTTCGCTGGCGGTCTCTGCCCTCAGCACAACCACCTTAGGCACAACGACCCTGGCTGTTTCCCCGACGAGCTCTACCCTTAGCATAGCGACCTTACCAGCTACAACCTCTAGTAGTCCTATCATCAGCGTAACCGCGACGAGCAGCGTCTACAGCACCTCTCAGAGCAGCATATACAACACCGCGAGCGACACCTTCACTTCGGATCCCCCTGACGCCACGAGCCCGGTGAATTCCAACGACACGGTTGCCGAACCCGAGTATTCTTCAGTCGACGCAACCACGTTTATCCTTTTGACGGATCCCCAGCAGTGGCGCAGCGATCCGTCCTCGGAGAGACTGAACAACTGCAGCGCCCTCAATGTCCAGCTGAACACCCTGGATGGCGGGGCGACCTGGCCGAGTAACCTTCCCGTTTCTGTTCCGGGCCAGCCCATCGGGACGATCACTGCCATCGTATTTAGTGGGGATCTTTGCCAGACGGGCGGCGACTACAGCGCCTTGGATCAATTCACTTATTCACCACCGACATATTTCGGAGGAAGCGAACTGGTCCGTGTTCGAGCGCTCTATGTGAATGTACCACAATTCCCCCCACAATACCCGGTTACTCCATTAAAATATGCTCCGAAATACTTTGGTCTCGGAAATCATGGTAGGGACCACTTTTCTGTGAACTGGCCTTGCTGATCTCGTCATTCTGTAGATATACAGACTGCTTACCACCC